GCTCTATAATAGAACCGCTTTCAGGAGTGCAAGGATCGCTACGTAAATCCTCAAGTCTGCAAAGGTTACGCAGAGCGCGGCTGGTGTACCTCAGACGATCCAGGAAGGCTCGGCCTTGCGAAGGCGAACTGCGCAAAGACATGTAACCTTTGCAGCTCCACCCAAGAGCCCGCCCCCATTCAAGGTGCAGGAGAATCTGGAGAGGTGTGTTGACTCCAAAATGTGACCGAGCGATACTAACCTTACTTTTGATATATAAAGAATCGCTTTCAGGAGTGCAAGGACCGCTACGTAAATCCTCAAGTCTGCAAAGGTTACGCAGAGCGCGGCTGGTGTACCTCAGACGATCCAGGAAGGCTCGGCCTTGCGAAGGCGAACTGCGCAAAGACATGTAACCTTTGCAGCTCCACCCAAGAGCCCGCCCCCATTCAAGGTGCAGGAGAATCTGGAGAGGTGTGTTGACTCCAAAATGTGACCGAGCGATACTAACCTTACTTTTGCTATCAGCGCCGCGGCCGCCACGGCCGTGCTGCTGCGGGGCGTCGCGCTGTGGACAGGCTGGACGCTGCCCGCGTGGCGCATCGGCAAGCGCCACTAGGGCGTCATCACCAACCGATGGTGTAGGTCACCACGGTAGGCGCCTGCGTGTGCAGCGACGGGCTGAAGTCGCCAACGTCGTCGTAGGCGAAGCCATAGGCTTTGCGGTTGATGCTGTGGTCGTGCCAGAACTTGGCGTACCAGTTGCCGAGCTGCCCGGCCGGGTAATGGGCCGACTGCACGTACCAGTTGGCCGGCGTCTCCATCACATGGCGGTTCAGGGCCGCGCACACCTGCGCCTGGATCTGCAGCTGCGTGCCGACGTTGGTCGGGTTGCCGCTGCCATCGGCCAGCAGGCCGGCGCCGAGCAGCACCATGGCGGTATCGGGCTTGCCATTGATGTAGAAGGTGCCGGCCGGCGAGCCACCGGTGAACGTGAAGCGGTCACCGCTGACACGGCCGCGGAAGGTGCCGAGGTTCTGCAGCGTGAAGACGAGGTCTTCGTTGCGGTAGCGGGCCCACACGGCGTCGATGTAGGGCTGCAGGTAGTTGGCGTTGGCCTGGCCGGGTTTGAAGCTGGCGTGGGCCGGCGCCATGATGCGGTACGGCGAGTACGGAGCCTGGGCCAGCGGCTTGAACGCCGTGGGGACCTCGGCGACGAACTTGCTGAAAAGCTGGTCGCGCGTCTCGGTCAGCGCTTCGCCCACGGTCTGGTCATAACCGCCCAGGCCCTGCACGCGCAGCTTCAGCGGGAAGCCGAAGTGATCCACCCGGGTCGTGTTGATGAAGATGCCCGGGTCGGGCCGGCCCGGCGGGATGATGGCCATCTCGCCGAAGTCGAAGTAGACGTCGATGTTGGGATCGGTCGGGTTCTCGATGTTGGCGCCGGCATAGCCGACATTGCCGTTGCCATCGAGCACGACGCGGATGTACATCGGCGAGCCGACCGACATCAGCACGCGGGCCGAGTCCAGCGCCGGGATGGTGAGCGAGCGCGTGGCGCTGAGCTTGTGGAAGTAGTTGGTGTAGGTGACGCCGTTCTTCGTGAGCGCGCCGTTGTCGGACGTGGACATCGGGATGAGGTTGCCCGAGGCATCCACGCGCACGAACTTGCCCGTGGACCAGTCGCGGCCGATGATGGCCCAGTACACCTGGTCGTCGGTCCAGCGGCCGCCCGTCTGGTTGACGATGTTGAAGGTCGTGCGGCCGTTCCAGGTGCCGGTGGCCGCGGCCACCTTGTACGACGAGGTCAGGTCGTTGAAGCCGCGATTCACGAGGTTGGGTTCGTTGCCCGTGAGCACGAGCGAGCCGCCGCCGTAGTTGATGTCGTTGAACAGCGTGACCTGGTAGCCGGCCTGCACCTTGACAGAGGAGATGCGGTCGTTCCAGGCGGTGCCGATCCAGCTCGAATCGGCGCTCACGCACAGGCTCGCGCCCGTGTAGTTCGCATCGGCGTAGAAGCAAACCGGGCCGCTGGCAGTGTTGCCGTTGACCGTGTAGCTGAACTTCGGGGTGTCGTAGGCCGGCGTGCCGTTGTTGTAGGTGAACCAGTAGCCGATGACGTTGCCGCTGGCGACGGTGAGCTTCTGCTCGTAGCGGCCGTTGGCGGCCGTCATGCGCAGGTTCTGCTGGGCGCCGTTGTTGACGGTGTAGTGGACGTCGACCCAGGTGGTCGACACATTGGACTTGAACCAGATCGTCGCGGTGGTGCCGCTCACGTCCACGCCCTGGTCGTAGTCGGCCGCGGACGCGGGCCGCAGCAGGCCCAGGGCCAGCAGCAGACTCACGCCCAGCAGGCGCAGGCAACGCAAAACAAGATTCACGCTCGTCTCCTCGGCCGGCTCGTCCACGAGGGGCGGCGGGCTCGTCTGGGCCTGGGCGGATGAACGCGGGCGGCCCGGTGTCGCGGCTGCGATCGACCTACTGCTCAGCCCGGCAAGCAGCCGCTGCCGGGGTCAGGTCACCGTCTGACCGCGCATCAGGCCAGTTGGATACCAGCTGAAAGCGCTTTCAGAATTGGTCCGCATCCTCCCGGGAGAGCCAAGAAAGCGGTTTCATGGAAAACCCGCGCGACAGCCGTTCCGGCGTCGCCCGGTTCAGGGACGGCACATCCCTGCTTGCCGCCGCGCGCAGGTCAGTGGGAGTGCACCGAGCGCAGGTGCCCGCCCGACGGAGCCGCCGCGGGCGATTCCTGCGCCGCCGACGCCATGCCGCTGAGGATGCCGCACTGGTCAGCCCGCTGCGCCTCGCCACAGCGCTGGCGCAGGTCGCGCAGCTGCTTCTCCAGCGCCCGCAGCTCCTTGATGCGGCGGGACACATGGCCGATGTGCGCGTCGAGCAGCGCGTTGACGTCGCCGCAATCACCCGCCGGCTCGTCCTTCACCCGCAGCAGCACGCGCACCTCGTCCAGCGACATGTCCAGCCCGCGGCAGAACCGGATGAACTGCAGCCGCTCCAGGTGCGCCGGCTCGTAGACCCGAAAGCCCCCCTGCGTGCGCCCCGGTGCGGGCAACAGGCCCTCGCGCTCGTAGTAGCGGATGGTGTCGATCGCGGTTGACGAGGCAGCGGCGAGGTCTCCGATCTTCATGGCAACTCCAGGGCAGGAAGGGGTCCAGTGTAGGCACTTGACTCTGGAGCTGCTCCAGGGATTCCAATGCCGATACCGATGACGACCTCGCCCCCATGACTGCGAACTCGCCCACCCGACCACACAATCACGCCCACGATCACGGCGACCACGGCCACCACGGCCACCACGACCACGCCGCCCCCGCGCCCTGCTG